AAAAAAAGTCTTGTACGACTTTGTTCTTGTAATATTAAGACTTTATTCGACTTTATTCTCATAATTTTATGGCTTGTAGTTTTTTTTTCTTAGCATGGCCCTAAAGCTCAGTTGTACAAAACACTAGCTATGAACCAAAAGTAGCAAAACTGTAGCTAAAAGTGGCAAAAGGATAACTAAAACCCGAAAGTAGCTAAATGTAAGCTAAAAGCTGAAAGAACGAAGAATAGCTAAAGTTAAAAGTAGCAAAATGCCAGCTTGAAGCAACAAAAATTGAAATGGAGCAAAATGCTAACTGAAAACTAAAGGTTGCAAAAGACTAGCAAAAATATCAAAGTAACAAATTGTCTCACTAAAACACACAAGTATTAAAAAAACTAGCTGGAAGCAAAAGTATCAAAAGGGTAGCTAACTGTTAGCTTAAAGTAGCATAAGAAGACAAGCATAGAACAATACGCTGAAGCAGACTTTAAAAAGAACAATGTTTTAAATGAAGTAAGGAGATCTCAGTGTCTTTCTAACGGCAACATATTTGTAAATTAAGTAAAAATAAAGACAAAGGTCATAGCACATATCTCCTGAATGAGCTGAACGTCTTATAATGAATATAAATGACTAAAATAGCACAAAGGGTGCAGTAGTTTGACTATAACAAGCGTAATGAAAAAATAAATTAAAAGAAAAACTACAGTGTGTATGATGAATTAGCGTGAACATAAAACTGTTAGAAGTGACTGTCATTTGAAGAAATGATACAAAACAGAATTATTTACCAAGTATTAACAAGTTTACTCTTACTTTTCTACAAAACCAAGGCACATAGCATACACAAAACAACCTACACTGATGTGAAGTGTAAAGATGTTTTTATTCTGTCTCTCAGGTGTGATGGCTCATGACATTGAAATGTTTGGAAACAGCTGGATGGAGGCAGAGCCCCACCAGGGCAGATGTCCCATGGTGCCCTCTGGTTTCAGCTCACCTTGTGCTCGTGTGGATGCTCAAGTCCTCCTGGTGAGAACAAAAGAACAACACACAGACCTAAACTGAAACAAAAGGCCCAGCAGCCCTCAGAGGAACGAATGTTGCCTGAGCCTTTAAAACCAAGAACCATGTTCACTGCAGACAGAAGTGGCTCAAGACCAGAATTTTTCCACTTTGTGACAGTCTGAACGGGACAAATCCTATTTTTTCTAATCTGACCCAGTTCTTTTCCATGTATGGCAGTGAATCAGATACATGTCCAGCAGTGGTATAGTCTACATTTTTGTAGTGGGTATACCGCGGTAAAGTTAGTTTTACGTTGGACACCGCTGCGCGAATGTCCAACATAAAACTAACTTTACCACAGTCTGTCCGTATACTGTGCTTAGAAACCAAAGTACACTGGTTAGTACAATGTAATCGTCAATTTATTTTGAGTTTTAAGCATATTGAACATTTCCAAATATCTCTGATGCTTATATTTGACTAAATGAACAACAAACTTTGTACAACAGTTGGCTTTTACATATAAAACAGTATCAAAGCAAAATATGTTCCAGTATTAAGTAATAAGTACAGAATTATACAATAGTTCACTGGATAAGTGAATGTAATAAACAAACTCTGCATACTGTAGTGTGTCAACGTCAGCTTAGCTGTACCCTCACTACAATTATATTTTAAATAACGAGTTCTCTCTTTTTCGAGCTAATTACAGCCATGTGACAGAAGTAATTGTGCGTAGATGGTTTAATCAGTGACATGAGACGTTCATTTTCTTTGACCCATCATAATAAATGTGGTAATTTATTGAACAGAATCAAAATTTAACATCAAAACATTGTACACTTGATTAGACTGATCTGGTTCTGATTAATAAAACTTGGCACGTTCTACTTAATAAAAACAACAGACATTTCTGAAGATATCTGGATTAATTACTGGCAAGATAGAAGTTTAAAGATGGGAAAAATGGAGGAGTTTAAAGACAGCACTTTGAAGGAAGATGTATGTCTGTGGACCAGATCAACACGCTCCTTTCAAACGCAGCTCGCCCTCGGTCCACTTAGTGCATGAAGCTCATGACGACTCTTTACCTTGGCAGAGGATGGGTCCGCTACGGTCAAGAGGTCCCTGGCATGCTACCTTTCAGCGTCTCCTCAGGGCGGCTGCGACTCGGCAGAAGTCGTGAGATACTCCGTTCAACAGAACAAACTTAGCTCCCTTCGAAGTTGTAGGGCATTTATGCCCAGGTGGACTCACAGCAAGCATCTGAGAGTCCTTTCCAGACTCCAGAACTCCACTCCAGAACTCTAGAACCCCAGAAAAACTCAAATAGTTCCAGGAAGTGTCGACTTTTAAAGAGTTCTGCTTCCGGTCACTTTAGTACGTCCTGATTGGTTGAAGCAACCAACAGGGGGTGGTTCTAGTGATGTCAGAGGGTCATTACAAGTCAAGAAAACAGCAGGAATGTTTTAGGAACAGACAGAGAAATGTTTTGGAGAAATGACAGACTTACAGGTGCCAGTTTTCTTATTTACTGTCTGAGAGTTTTAAAAACAATACAGCCTGTTCTAACAACTTGTTTTTGACAGTCTCCGACTTTTGACCGACATCACTACTTCTCATTTCAGACAGAAGATCAAAAAATGCATAATTACTTTGTAAATAGACATTTAACTTGATTTCTAATTTAAATGAGGATTAAAAAATCATTAATACTGTTTCACAGATGATTTAAAATGAGTGGTTCACTTCAACATTTAGAAATGGTATGAACTAAACACACTTTTGATTTATCAAGATATTGTAAAATAGTACTGATAATATAAAAAGAGAGTGTTCTTTCAATTGATTAATTCAGGATACAATTAGAAAGTCTCTGGATGAGCTAATTTGTATTTCTGGATTCAAATCAATGAAATAACAGTTCCTGTCCCATGAAGGTTTTCAGAGACAGGTTTTGGTCGGAGGCCTAGTTTACTACAACACCGAAAGATTGTTACGGAAGCATTTAACTGCCGTTTAACATATCAATGACATGTGTCTAATGATATGTCATGTATCATTGGACACTTTTAAGTGGGTACACTGAAATTCTTCAGCTCTTCTAGTGGGTATACTCTGTATACCTGCGCATCACAAAGACTACACCACTGATGTCCAGTGTTTTTCAGTGACCTCACTCTAAATTGTGTCCCACTCATGTCCCATTTCATCCGACTGTTACATCAGCTATGGGGGTATGGGGATTGATCCAAGTATTGATAATAATGACACCAATCTTGTGTAGTTTAAATTGGAACTCCGTGTGTCTTCAGCTGCTGAAAAGAAGTCCAGCCCTGCGTCGGCTTTTGTTCTCGATGACTGAGAATCCACAGCAACTTGTAACACTTCTGTTAGCATGGGATTGTGTGATACTAACATGAGAGGATCGATACTTTGGTTTGTTTTTACCTTCAGTGTGTCACTCCTGTTCCAGAAGTACAGTTCTATACCGGAGTGGCCCAATGGAGAGTAGTGGACAGAACAGTGGTGTCAAATAATAATTTAACTGGTTCTGATTGCATAAACTTCTAAATGGGTACACACCTGCATGTATCCATGGTTACTTCTGTAAACGCAGCGTGCTGCATGTGATGTCAGTCGTAGGCGTTTTAGACTGAAGTCTGTCTATGGTTGTATTTAATTTATAACATGAATAAATACACAAAATAAAAAGAAGAATCAGAGCAAAACATGTGAGAAGAGCATTAAGACCTGCAGTGAGAGTGAAGTGTTTTGGTCAAAGCTTGTAAATAATGTTCTGTGATTTCAAATACTCTGAGTTTTACTGTGATCTGTCAGTACTGAAAGCATGTGTGCATCTGACTCTGAGCCAGTAAAAGGAATCAAATACTGGCTGTATTTTTTGTTTAGCTGAATTACAGTAGTAGAGGTTAAATTCCAGACACCACCGCGATATAGTGATGTGCGGATCGATACTAAAATATTGATACTATCGATACCAGAACGGTTCGCTCTACAATCGGATGTTTAAATCAAACTATCGATAGTTTTGATACTTTAGTCATTTCAGGTAATGCATATCATTAACAGGAAGATGGTGGAAAGTAACTAAACTATTGAGATCTTGTCTAAATGATACGCGATTGGAGGGAACTACTTTTTCTTCTACCTGAGTAAATGCGTAATGCGTTTCAGCGGAGCGGCACGCTGCTCGTCAGTATCTCAGTCTGTAGACACAGCAGTGGAGCTTAACAGAGTCATGTGTGGAGTTATCTCATCTCCAAAAACAGTCGAGAAGTGGTTTGTGAGGTTTGTGGAAAATCTGTAAAGAGCTGTAGCAACACAACAAACCTTGTAAATCACTTCCTGTTAAATCACAACACAGAATATGAGGCATTGATGAGGTGGACAGAGGAGCAGAGTCCGGTGTTGCTGCTCTGGAGGAGTCCCTCAGGGCTGCAGGACTATCCAGGTACATGAAATGTGGAGCTTTCAGCAGTGCTAAGAACTGTTGCAGTTGGAGTTGTTCAAATTAATACATATGGTTATGAAATAATTAACCAAATAAATTCATGCTTCAACAAATAGTTGCATGAGTTCAGTTTGGAGTAATAATATGTGTATCACTGAGATAATCTCACATGGGCAAAAAAGTCTAGATTTATTCATGTAAGGTTTCATAAAGAATAGATCATTTAAAGTGGATTACATGGACCAGGTGTCATCAAATTATACAGAGCAATGGAGATAAAACTGCCTTGGTGAACTCTGAAAAATATATACTACAAAAATGTGGATAAAAATATAACATATTATCTTAAACATATCTCATTATTTAATAGATATTTAATAATTTATTTGAATACTTTTTATGATTTTTCTTATTTTTATTGTTTGATAAAACATTTTCCCATATTTTGTATGATGTCCTGTTAGTTTTATAAGCACAGAATAAATGAGGCCACTGCATCAACATACTCCTGAGTTTAAAATAATAAAATACTTTATCTTGTATTCTTTATACAATTTTGATTTGACTACACTGCTTTTTTTAGGTTTACCTGATACATTAGGCATATTTGCAAAAAGTATCAGTAGCGGCATCGATACCACCGATACTTGCATGGATTTTACCCGGTATCGTATCGAAACAGGAAATCCTGGTATCGAACATCACCACGATAGGTGGAAAAACCACCAAGTAGGAACGCTATATTTATTTTAGTATTTATATATTTTAAGGCTTTACAAACCCTTTCCACACTCTTGCAGTGTTCTACACTCTTAAACCTACATAATTTTAACAGCAGACATATATGTACTGTACAGTACTGCAACATTTTACATGGGTACTCACCAGTGAAGATATAACTTGAAGGATGAGTTCAGCTTCAGGATTATTTGTGTCTTTCCTGCCAGTTCTGTGATCTTCATGAATACATCGTTACTTCTAACTTTGTGTTGCAAAACTATTTCTACCACATCAGTTTCTCCTCTAGTGTTCGCTCCCTCCATTGCTGTTCTTTAAATTTGGGCAGAAAACAGCGGCCGGAAGCACTGTTGGCTTCTGGGCCATGTAGTTCTTTTGACTTGAGTTAAAAGAGCTCATTTAAAGAAAACTACAAAATGGTGGCGCCTGTCCAAAGTATTTTTTTCCTGCTCCTGTTAACTTTTTATCCCATACAGTCCCGATCACGAGTAATATTAAAGTTGACAATCGTGTGTCGCCGTACAAATTGTGTTGAAAACCTGCGAAAGAGTGAGTCCATGAATGTCGAACCGCAAAGTATTGAGGGACTACTGTATAAGTGTTTTTATGCTGAGTAAGCTTGATAAATGGATCAGCCATCTTGGGTTGACTCAAAATGTTAATCAGTTGAGCTTTTATCAACATCTGTTCAGTTGTTTTTGAGATATTTTGTTAACAGACAAGACTGACTCCAACAGTACTGACAAAGTTTTAAGCAAAGATGTGCAATGCATAGCACTCAGAATATGGGTTGGGCATTATCCTCCGCTGCTAATGCACCAAATTTAATCTCTATCAGTACAATTGTCTGAGTTAGAACCATTTTGATGTTTCCAAATGTCAATCTGCTTCAACTAGGTTGGCTCTAAAAGTAAAACATTGTAGTTGAACATTCAGTGATTACTTTCTGAAAGTTTTATTAGTATCCATCGAGTGGTTCACAAGATATTCTGCTAACAAACAGAGCTGCCTCCAACAGCTAACTGTACTGGTTAGATACCAATACATCAAACTTTAGCTCAGTATTTATCAAACTTACTGTGTTCTAGACGTTGTTGTGTTTGCTAAGGTCAATAAGCCTTTTCAGTGCAAGGTGAAAATGAAATTCCCGTTTGTTTTAAATGGTTTGGTTCTGCAGGAAGTGGAAGAGGTGTGTGTGATGCTGCTCGACGCACCTTTTCAGAGCTGCCATGACTTTGTGAGTCCATTGTCCTTCATGGCCAGCTGCTCCAACGACCTTTGCAGGTAAGAAAGAATTATAAAGCTCCAAGTTGATTTTGTCCTCACAGAAGGCAAAGACGTCTACAAAAACACAGGGCTTGATGAAGTATATTTGAACCTTTTTAAGATTTTATGTTAAATTAAGAAAAAAAACTAGATGTGGTGCACCATGGTGAAAACCTTTGGACTAAAGGTGACATTTGAATAGGATTAAAGAGTAATAATATACTTTTGCCTAAAATTTGTTGTTATGTACCACCTAATTTAAAGTCCAACACCCTTAATTGTTTCCTATCACGTGTCCAGCGAAACATGATTGAGACATAACAAATAAATACCATATGTTCTGTAGCAAATACTAAAAAGTAAAGCAGACTGGGATGCAAATATTTCAGTTATCAGGCTCCTCTCTTGTGGAACCAACTTCCAGTTTCTGGCTGACACATTGTCCAGTTTTAAGAACTGGGCTTAAGAGTTTCCTTTTTGATAAATCCTATAGTTAGGGTTGGCTTGGGTTTCCTGAGCTATCCTTTAGTTATGCTGCTATAGGTTTAGACTGCTGGAGGACAAACTTTCCACATTTCCTCACTCTGCCGCTGTCGTTACTTACGTACTCTATCTGTTTGTATTAATAATTATTTCTATCTTAACGTGTTTTTTGTCTTTCCTCCTGTAGAAAGTTCATTCAACCTTTATTTAGACAGGCTAATCCCATTGAGCCCCGAGGACTCATTTACAAGAGAGACCTGATTTCTTTAACAAAGAGTGATGACAACAGAGGATAACAGTGACAAGAACAAAGACAGTCATAAAAGAGGCATACATATATTTAATTATTTTTTTAAACAAATCAAAACAAAATGGCAACCAAAAGGACAGTCAAAAGAAAAAGTAGCAAAAAGAAAGAAAGAAAAGCAGCTAGGTTGTAAGGCGTTGTAGAAAACTCAAAAGAAGAACATGTCCGCATTGTTTTTTCCCAGCAACTTATCAGATGTTTAAAGCCACTTAGAGAGGTCAAGGTTTAGAGCTTCAGATTTTTTTGGAAGATATTCCAGGAAACAGGAGCAGAGTAGGAGAAGGCCCTTTTGACAAGTTCAGTCCTCACTGAGGGAACACTGCAGGTAATAATGTCCTGAGAGTGCACGCTGTAGCTGCACTCACACAGAGACATGCAGGAGGAGATGTATGAAGGCAGCAGACCAAGAAGTGATTTAAAGATGAAAATGTACCAGTGAGAGAGTCTGTGTGAAGTTAATGATGACCAGTTAACCAGTGAATACTGGGTGCAGTGGTGGGTACTGTAGTTACAACCAGTTATGAATCTTAGTGCACCGTGATATACATCATCCAACATCTGCAGGGTGCTTGTAGGAACGTTCATGTAAATAATGTCACTGTAATCAATGGAGGGAAGGAAAGTCACAGTTACAAAGTGTTTCCTAGCATTCAGAGTTAGACAGGATCTATTTCTGAAAAAAAAAAAAAAAAAAAAAAACCCACAATTTAACTTTCAGTTTCCAGTTTCATCTGGACCTGTCATTCTGTGTCTGTTTCTCTTTCCTGTCTTCTCAAACTCCAGCCAGTCATTTTAGATGGCTACTTGTCCTGAGCCTGGTTCTGCTGGAGGTTTCTTCCTGTTAAAGGAGAGTTTTTCCTTTCATCTGTTACCTTTGCGCTTGTTCAGGATGGGAGAGTGTGACAAAAAGAAGATTCTGCTTCCTTAGAGAGAATTTTACTAATTAGCTTTCGATGTATATGAATGTTTCTGTTCAGTGCCCTGAGACGACTTGCATTGTGACTTTGTGCTTTATAAATAAACTGAATTGTATTGAATACCCACTTCTACCTGTGCCTGATCCCTGGCATGACATCATCATCCTTTGGTAATCATTGACTGTGTGCTTGAGTGCTTTCTTGACTGGTTAGGTTAAGTTTGTTTAACACTTGCATGACCCAAATGCAACCCCCCATTTAACCATCGTATTCAACGACAGTGATTACCCCTTAAGAGAACTGGGGATTATAATGGTGGGTGTTGGACTTTATGAAAACCTGGAAACATTCATAAAGAGTTTATATTTTGCACCTGATCACTTAACCATTTTCTCTTAACAAAACTACAATCTAGCTTAAAAAAGATAATGATCAAATAATGTTTCAATATGATTTTTCAGTTAAAGATAAGTTAGTAAAACTTACAGCATTGTACCATCTCTCTGCCCCCATGCAGCACTTTTTATTGAAACAAAAAAAATTGAAAATGATGAAGGAGCTTTATCAATATTGTGTACAGTGGTTTACTGGTCAAGGGTCAGTCATTAAAGCCAAACTATACAACTGCCTGGCTCCTTCTCATTTTCAGCTCCTTTACTTTATTTATATTGTTGTAAAATGAGATACTTTTATAATAGCTTGCAGTTTTTATGCCTTGAGTTTAAAGTTGTTTTGTTCTGTGTGTACAAACAGCATACCCAGCCCTATTTTACATTTCCTTTTACATATTTACACAAGTATATTTTAATAATCTGTCATATCCATCATTTTTTTGTATTTTCAAACTGGTATTTAATCCCAACAAAGGATCCCATTTGTATAACTACAAGCACAAGTTTTTTTCCATAACAAATATTGCTCAGCTAAGAACTTGTGGACCTGCTGGCTTGGTGGGGTGAGATGTCCTGTGAGCGATGCAGTTGAATCAGTCCAGTGAACCAGCTTGTGTAACCGCACCTCTGCTGGCTCTGTTCAACAACTCCCCTGTCTTTTTTGTTCTGTTGAAGGTCCGGTCCCAGCAGCAATGTGGTGTGCCAGGTGTTCAGCGAGTACGCACGAGCCTGCGCCCATGCCGACCACCCTCTACACGACTGGAGGGAGCACGTTCCTCTGTGTGGTACGCACTTTCAAGGGTTTTAAACTGCAGTAAATAATCACCGCAAAATAAAATCCAAGAAAATTCAAATTTTATTACATATCCCATTGTTTCAGACCTAACAACCTAAACTTTTAAAACTGTCCATCCATCCATCCATTATCTTTACCTGCTTCTTCCTTTATGGGTCACAGGGGTCTCTGGTGTCCATATTCAGCAATCACTGTGTGAGAGACGGGGGACACCCTGGACAAGTCTCCAGTCCATCACAGGGACACATAGAGACAAACAACCATTCACTCTCTCTCTCTCACACCTAATCTCATACTCACTCAGAAAGTTTTGAATAAAGTAGATGTAATTTCCTGCAATCTGGTGTGTTTTAACAGGTTGGTAAACATCTATGTTTACCTACACAAGAAAACACTTGATTCAATAACTATTTTAGAGAGCACGACACAACAAGAAGTTTAACCAACAGCTGTCCTTGTGTGAATAGAGCACGCTCTGCTTCTCTCACGCTTCCTAACACCTCCACACCCGGTCGACAAGTGTTGTCAGTAAAGTAGCTCTAAGCTAGCGTGCAACACAGACGTGCTAGCTAAAATGCTACAAATGTAGCGCTGCGCTTCTTTCACACAATCTAACTCCGCACCCCGGTTGCCTACTGCGTAGCACTAAGCTAGCATGCAACACAATGGTGCCTCCCCATCCTCCCCCCACCCTGTCAATAAAAACCCCAAAGTGCTGAGCGCCCTGCCAGCCAAGTGACCAAGAAGAAACTGCATGTGGTGTAGAGTTGCATTCGGGCCCAGAAAATCTGATCCGACCCGGCCCCAGCCCGCAGTCATAATTTCCGAACCAAACCCGACCCGACCCGATGAATTAACAGTAGTTACAGGTCAGAACCCGACCCCCCCCCCCCCGACATTTTAAATTAGTTATTAACGTTCGGGGAAGCGCAGCTGAATAAAAGTGGCAGAAGATTCAGAGCTGAGGGTGTTTGTCATTTCATGGCCGTAAAAAACCATTTAAACCCTGTTTCTGCCTGCATTCTTCTGCATTACTGAGACACGTGGACAGCTCTGACACACGCATCTGCTTTAGGATCTCACCTGTTTGGGTCATCAGCCGTGCACGTCCGCTGAGTGCAGCGGCAGAATGAACGTCCATTTGGGCGATGGATCGCTTCCTGGTACAGTACAGTCCCATCTGAAGCTTAACTGAACTGTTACTTCTTTCAGGGCCGGTCAGCTCACGGTGAAATGGTCACCGTATGGTGGAGGTATGGCAGGCCATGTTATCATATAATTGGATCGCGGCTGATCCTGACCTAATTAAAAGCCAGAGACCGGCCTGGCCCACCCATTAACCATATTATAACGGCCTGGCCCGGCCTGGCCCTAATCTGGGTCAGTCCGGGCTGGGTTTTGGGTTCGGGTTAGAAATGACAGCTCTATTGCGGTGTAGTGAGTTGTTGTAGGTAACCAGGAAATCCCAGAGTGGACTTTTAGCTGTTAGAGTATTTTCCTATTAATCAAGTGGAATGGATATGTTCACAAAGAAATAGTAACGCTGGGTGGAATAATATTTTATGGTAAATGTGTTGGGGGGGTTGCAAATTAAAAATTTTTAAATGTGAGGGGGACACATCCCCTTCACTGGTTGCGACTGACGTTTATGCATCCTGACCTTTCAAGCAGAGTTAAAAGTGCTTTTCCTTTTTGTGACCAGTGAAGCAGTGTCCTCTGGAGCTGCAGTACAGGGAATGCATCAGCTGCTGCCCAGAATCCTGCAACCTGGAGCGAGCGTGCATCGACAGCAAGCTGGCCTGCCTCGACGGATGCTACTGTCCTGATGGTGATTTACACCATCACTTATTTATTTTAAACAATTGGAATGTCTTTGATTCAAGATTTTGTTTGGCAGTATACTTTAAAATGAACAGTCTTTTACCATAACTGCAAAACTTATCAGAAAGAGCTTAGCATATTTGTTAAAAAAAAATTTGTTACTCAGCTATTCAGAGTAGTGAAATCTCTGACATGTTTTCAAATAAAATGTTACAGATATTGAGCTAAAAATTGGTTTTGTTGTAGTTGAGACTCATCCACAACACATGCTCTACTCTGAATGCTAACGATTCCTACAAGAACTTTGCAGAAATCTTTGGTGCACAATGAAGCAGGCGACATGCACTCCGTCAGAATAAATCTGATCAACAGGTGCAACACATTTATCCACATTTTGATAATTATTTTATTTTCTCCAGTTAGCTAACTTTGCTCTGCTTATTATGTTCAATCTAAATGTTATTCCCCTTCCACCTCATTATATATCATAACTAACTGATAAATGGACTGTACTTATATAATGTAATATACTCAAAGCGCTTTACAACACAGTCTGTGCCCTCATTTACCCATTCATACAGCACTCTACTAGATCTCTTCAAAGAATAAGCAGAGCTTTATCACATTCATACACCAATGATACACACATCATAGGCAATGAGGGATTCAGTGATTTGCCCAGGGACAGTTCGACATGTGACTGCTGGTGGAATCGAACCCCCAACTCTTGCATTGGAGAACAACTGCTTTAACCACTCAGCCACAGCCGCCCTGTGGAATCAACAGTTAGACCAGTTGTTTGTTCTGTTATAGTCTAAAGCACATATGTGGAAATCAATGCCGGCAGGACAAATCTGGCTTTTGTTAACGTTTTTATTGCATCTTCAAAATAATATTTTAATGTTGGGTTAAGTCAGATTAGATTAAATAAAAATCCTGAATCTAGCTCTTATGTCTGACACATCAGTCTGTGACAGATTGAGTCTCTATCACATCTTATTTTGTTAGAAGAACAGAGAGTGCTAAATTCTCAGGGCTTGTAGTTAATCTCATTAATCCTCCCTCTCTCTCTTTGAAAACCTGTGATACTGTACAGTAATAAACTTTTGTCATGTTTTTGTATTTGCTACCTCTTGCATGACCATGTTGACATAGTCTGCAGAATGCTGTCTACGTCGGTTCATGTTTATTAAACTAGTAGCATAATTTACAACAAGAAAACGTGTGATTCCTGTCATCACACTGGCCACATGCAGAGGCATAGATTTTGTTTCTTACTGACATTTTTTGCTGTTTGTGTCATTTTGAAGCTAATCTGCACAGAAAATCTGGGTGTGTACACATGTATACAGTGAAATATAAGAGGACTTCACAAATTTTGTCCCCTGTGGTGGAGCAAAGAGAGGGAATTGGAAATACCTTCCGTCCATCCATGCATGTTGAGAGATTTATAGGTTGAAAAATAAACAAGGTACCAACTTCCATTTTAGTGTGTGGCTGCATCTATAGGTGTAAGAAAGAGTTTTTTTCAAAAATTTGCCTGCCACATCAAAATCCAAGATGGCCACATAAGTACATACACACATAGCTGACCAGCTCATATTGTTTGAGGAAACTCTGCTCTATAGATTTTATTTTGCTTAAAAATATAGTTTCCTCATATTCACTCAACCTTTATTTAGACAGGTTAATCCCATTGAGCCTCGAGGACTTATTTACAAGAGAGACCTGATTTTTTAACAAAGAGTGATGACAGCAATGGATAACAACGATGACAATGGATTACAAAAGACAGTCATACAATAGGCATACAAATTTAAGTTCCTCTCTTTTTTCTTTTAACACATTGAAACAAAATAGCGGACAGCACGGTGGCACAACTGGTAGAGCTGCTGCCTCTCAGCGAGCAGGTCCCTGGTTCAAATCCTGGTCCGGGGGCCTTTCTGGGTGGAGTTTGCATGTTCTCTTTGTGCATGCGGGGGGTTTTCCGGGGACTCCAGTTTCCTCCCACAGCCCAAAAACATGCATGTTAGATTGACTGGTAACTCTAAATTGTTCCTAAGTGTAAGTGAGAGAGTGAATGGTTGTTTGTCTCGTTTGTCTCTATGTGGCCCTGTGATTAACTTGCGACTTGTCCAGGGGGTACCCCACCCCTCACACAGTGATTGCTGGACATGGGCACCGGCGACCCCCGTGACCCAAAATGGAAGTAGCAGGTAAAAGATAATGGATGGATGGAAACAAAATAGCGAGAAGGGTGTTCTCTGCAGGCCAAAAGTGGGTGTTTCTGGCTAATAGGCGTTTGTAGGGGGCAAACACTGATTGGCTAGCTGTATCTGCTGCTCTTTAGTTAGTTAAGTTACGTCAGGCCTTTTGTAAAACTGAAGGTTTCTAAGAACCAGCGTTGAATCTACTGTCAAACACAAGAAGATTCTCTTTTGTTCTTGGTTGTAGGCTGCACCTGACACAGGTTGCCTTGAGTGTGGTCTGGGTACAATGAAATATGAAGCATCTGAAGTGAAACCTGCTCCCATTCGCAGTGATGGAGAAAGTACTCAAACACTGTACTTAAGTAAAAGTACAAAAAAAACAGACAAAAATGTACTCTAGTAAAAGTAGAAGTACCACATTAACATTTTTACTTAAGTAAAAGTAAATAAGTACTTGCTTTTAAAATACTTAAAGTATTAAAAGTAAAAGTACTTGCTGAATGTATTACCTAATGTAATGGTCTACATATCTGTAAGTCTGCCTACCATATGTATCTATCCATCCATTTTCTTTACCCGCTTATTCCATTTTGGGTCACGGGGGTCGCTGGTGCCCATGTCCAGCAATCACTGTGCGAGGGGCGGGGTACACCCTGGACGGGTCGCAAGTCCATCACAGGGAGACATAGAGACAAACGAGACAAACAACCATTCACTCTCTCACTCACACCTAGGGACAATTTAGAGTTACCAATCAGCCTAACATGCATGTTTTTGGACTGTGGGAGGAAACCGGAGTACCCGGAGAAAACCCACGCATGCACAGAGAGAACATGTAAACTCCACCCAGAAAGGCCTCTGGACCGGGGTTTGAACCAAGGACCTGCTCGCTGAGAGGCAGCAGCTCTACCAGTTGCGCCACCGTGCTGCCATACCATATGTATATTTTCTGTAATACATTAATAGTGTTGTGTCATTTTAATGAACGATGCTGCAGATAATACATGTTTTCATTGTGTTTACTCTGTGACACAGTTCACACTTGGACTTGTGATTCTGTGCGTCAGAATTTCAGAGATGACATGCAGAGTTAAATGTCATTAATCAAAATAAGAAAGGAATGATTTTACCTTTGAAAGTTTTTATTTAACACAAATCAAAACCAATGTGTCATTTTAACTGCAGTAAACACATTTAAGTAAAAGTTGTCTGCCTGAACAAAAGGAGCATTAGACACAACTAACAAAGGAATAGACTCTGATCATTTCCACTGATATTTCAACTCCAGTTTGTCATCAACTCTAGTTAAAATACTGTCTATTCAATCTTGTAATGGGTCAATAGTGAACAATATTTTAACTTCCTGACACCATTTTTAAAACTTGGACCTGAGTGTCGAGCCATTTGGAGACATCTCTTGTCTCCTAACATCATGAACTGACACATTTTAGTATTGCAGCAAGAATTTCTTGTTCAAGTTCACAAGAAGTTGGTTTTCAAAGATTTTTGAGTCCAGTCTGGCTCTTTTGGGAGAGAGAATCTGTCCTGCTGTACTGAGCAGTCTTTCAATAAGGACATGGGTGGAGCATATCTTCTGGGTGACTCTCTTGCGGTGGAATACATTTTGGGTGTGCTAGTGGTGCTGTGGGTGCACCCAGTTCAGTGACATAAATACTAGAATATAATATATATGTTATTGGCCCAGCTCTTCTTGAAGGCGGGCCTAACGTTACCTGCCCACTTTGCAGTGATTCAATGGACCAGCTCCCCTCTCACCATTGGTTACTTTCAAAGTAACAAACAAATCAAAAAGCCGCAACATGAATGTAACTTGTAATGCAACGCATTATAGAAATGTAGTATAGTAGAAAGTACAGATACTTGATGTAAAATGTAGTGAAGTAAAAGTATAAAGTACCCACATTTAACTCTACTTAAGTAAAGTAGAGATACAAGAAAAGTGTGCTTGTGTACAGTAACGAAGTATTTTTACTTAGTTACATCCCACCACTGCCCATTTGTCCAAAAAGTCTGGTCTCAATTAAAGATCATGAGTCCTATGATGAGATAATTGCCCAAAACAAACACTAAAAACAAAATTTGCTCTTTAGAAGTTCTCTTTTATGAGATCTGATTTATGAAAGGAGCTGAAACATGGAGTAGGGTTGACTCTTAAAGTGTGAGACAGCTGAGGAAGTTAACCAGTAAACAGAAATACCTGCTCCAGTTGCAGAAGTCTTACAGAAACTGACAATCACTCATCTGTAGTGACTGCAGGTTGAACAAGACAATGTGAAGTTAAAAGCAACATCCTTTGTCCCAAGGCCAGTAATTAATATTTTTCTTTCCTTATGAATCGATTGTAACTATTTTCACATTTTCAACAACCAAAATGGATTTTCCTGATGCATGCTCAAAATGGATTTTGTTTTTTAATGTTATGGCTAGGTATTAATAAAAACAAACTTTTAGCCCTCCCCACTACCCAGTTATGTTGCTCTTATTTTGAAATGTAACCAGAAGTTCTGTGTTAAGAGAGGCGGAAAAAGAAGATATGGAGACGCCGCTAATGTCGAACCGAGACGCCACCAATGTTGAACCTGAGACGCCGCTAATGTTGAACCGGTTAACACCATAGACATAATATGCCTGTGGTTAACACAATCTGCCAATAATGCCTTGTTTTTAGACATAATGGGTCTGTGGTTAACACAAACGGCTTTTTATCGTTCAGCCTTTTTTTTATCGTCCAATCAGATGTGGCGGCCAGACACACCCATTTTTCTATCGTCCAATCAGATGTGGCCGGCCAGACACGCCCATTTCTCTCTCATCCAATCAGATGTGACCTCCAGACATGCCCATTTTCCTATAGTCCAATCAGATATGACCCCCCGGATATGCCTCATCCAATCAGATGTGGCCCCCCAGATACGCCTTCCGAATTTGCCTGCAGCGATACCTACTTGAAAATAGCAACCAAAAGGACAATCAAGAGGAATAGAAGCAAAAAACAATTAGATCACAAGGCGATTTAGAAAACTAAAAACAGGAACTTGTCTGCATTGGCTTTTGCCAGGTACTTAACAGGGTTTTAAAGTCACTTAGAGAGGTCAAGGTCAAGAGCTTCAGATTTTTTTGCAAGATATTCCAGGAAACAGGGACAGCGTAGGATAAGGCCCTTTTGCCTAGTTCAGACCTCACTGAGGGAACATTGCATGTAATAATGTCCTGAGAGCACACGCTGTAGCTGCACTCACGCAGAGACATGTAGAATAGTATGAAGGCAGCAGACCAAGATGTGATTTAAAGATGAAAATATACCAATGGAAGAGTTTGCGTGAGGTTAATGATGACCAGTTAACCAGTGAATATAGGGTGCAATGATGGGTACAGTAGTCACAGCCAGTTATGAATCTTAATGAAATGTGATAGACAGCATCCAGCATCTGCAGGGTGCTTGTAGGAGCGTTCATGTAGATAATGTCACCCTAGTTGATGGAGGGGAGGAAAGTCGCAGTTACAAGGCGTTTCCTAGCATTCAGAGTTAGACAGGATCTATTTCTGAAGAAGAAACCCAATTTAACTTTTAGTTTCCTTACTAGGTTTTCCACATGAAGCTTAAAAGAGAGATGCAAATCGACCAAGATACCCAATTAGTTATAGAAATTGACAAACTCAATAGGGACACCATTTGAGGATAAAATCAGAGGAAGGACTGATGGGACCGACTTCCTGTTTGAAGAAAGCATCCCTTTGGTTTTATTGGCATTTAGAACAAGTTTGAGGTGGAACAAATCTGCCTGGATGATGTCGAAGGTGGAATGCAAAAGCTGGAGAGCCTTAGCAACTGTTTTAACTCGACAATAAACAACTGTGTCATCAGCATAGAAATATAAGGATACATCAGGGATTCTTAGACCAACATTACATATGTAGATTGTAAAGAGGGTGGGACCTAAGACTGAGCCTTGTGGTACACCATTACTGACTGTTAGATAATTCGGGGAAATACCATTATGTTGAACACATTGCCTCCTATCTGAACGATAGTTAGAGAATCAACCAATGTACGATCTGAGAAACCAATTTCTGAGAGCTTATGACACAAGATGTTATGATACACAGTATCAAAAGCTTTAGCCAGATCTAAGAAAAGTGCAGCACAATAATCCTTAGCATCCAATGCTTCAACGATGTTGTTAAAAACCTTCAGTGAAGCAGTCGTTGTGCTGTGTTGATTCCTGAAACCAGATTGGAGGGAAGGTAAGATTTTAAATGAGTCCAAATACTTTTCTGATTTGAGAGTTCATCAGTTTTTCTAGAACTTTGGCTAGAATGCAGAGTTTAGAGATTGGTCAATAGTTATTCAGTGAGGTGGGGTCACCTCCCTTCAGCAAAGGTAGAACAAAGGCTGTTTTCCAAGCATCTGGGATGGAGTTTTGGCTTATGGACAGGTTAAAGATGTGGGATACAGATACTGCAATGATATGAGCAGCAAGCCTTGAGAAATAAGGTGGAAGTTCATCTGGTCCTGCAGATTTTTTAGGGTCTAGACCTTTTAAGAATTTATTTACCTCACTGACTGAGAACGGGGTAAGAGAAAAGGTATGATTTACTGAAGATCGACTTGTAAGAGAGAGAGTTTGCAGAAGTTTGACTTTTAGGGGAATTAGCTGATTTTTCATTAGTAACTGTGTCAAATAAAGAACTAGAAGCAACAAAATGTTTTGTTGAAACAGTTCAGGCTCTTGTGCTTATTTGACACAGGACCAGAGTTGAGAAGTTGTGAAGGGAGGTCAGATGATTAGGGGCTGCCTGAGAGAGATTTGATGGTTTTCCAGAATCTTTGAGGATCGTTTAGATTTTTGGAGGTCTGAGATAAGAAATAGTTATGCTTTGATGGAAATTGTGCATTTATTCCTCATCTGTCGAAAACTCAACCAATCAGTGTCTGAGCCATATTTTCTTGCTGCGGCCCAAAGATGATCTCTCCTGTGAAGGAGGTCAGCTAGCTCTGGAGTAAACCAGGGGCTGTCTTGTCCTTTTATTCTGAACTTGTAGAAAGGAACATGTTTGTTTACAAAACAAATTAAACTATTATGTAAATAGTTCCAAGCCGTGTTCACGTCATCGGTTAATAGAATACGATGCCAGTCAAAGTGAGATAAATCCCAGAGGAATGACTGTTAACAAAAACGTTTCAAGTCCCTTTTTGAATTAATCTGGGCTCAGGATATGGAAGTTTAGTGTCTCTGAGAGCCGCTATTACACAATGATCACTTAAAATATCGTCAAAAACACCTATACCAGGGAATTTGTGAGGCATATTTGTTAGAAATAAGTCTAAGATGAAGATTTTTCAGGACAGTTATTGTTCTGTCTGGTGGGAGAATCAATGAGTTGGGTCAGATTAAGTGACAGGCAACATTCCTTGAATTTATCACAATGGGGGGTGGACTTTTCCCAGTTGAAATTAAAATCCCCGGCAAGTAAAACCTTGTTGAATTGAAGATTAGTTATGAAGTCTATTCGAGAAGACAGAGCCACAGATGTTGCTGAGGGGGGACGATAACAACCCACTACAGATAAGATTTGGCCTCCATTCAAGGTGATGTTTCCAGCTAAGGCCTCAAATTGGTTTGCGATTGTTTTGGCTGACACAAGGCTAGAATCCAGGTTATCACTGATATAAATGGCAACCCCATCCCCCCTTTTTTGACGATCACAGCGATAGATATTAAATACATCGATTGCCAGGTCATTATTTGAGACAGATTTGTTTAGCCAGGATTCAGAAATGAAGATTACATCAGCCCCAGAAGAATGGACCAGAATTTTCAAAATGTCAAATTTTCTCAAAAGACTACGTGCATTTACATGCAGCACCTCAGACTGAAGAAGTCTTTCGGATGAAAGACGAAACATTTCTACTTTTTTTTTTTGTTCTTGTTTTTTGATTGTCCAGAGGACCAGTCTTAACTTTTTTAGATTTTTTTTACCTGGTTTATTGAGCATGCATCAGGAAACATTTTGGTTTGTTTGTGTGACAGTTTAAATTTAGCATGGTGTCTACGTTTCTGTCTCCAGGTCTTATTTATGAGGATGGTAGTTGCGTGACGCCTGCCGAGTGTCCCTGTGAGTACCATGGCATGATTTATCCTTCTGGCCAAATGCTGCAGGAGGAATGCAACAACTGGTGAGTTATTATTATTCCCATCCTCTTTCATCTCCTCTGCCAGGACTCTGCATCTTGAAACATCTTAGATGATTAACTAGCTCTTATTAAATCTTTATGATCTTGTAGGTCAGAACAAAATAAAACTGCATACTGTGGCTTTTATTATTGTATCTGATAGTTGATACTTTACAAATGATAAGTAAGTAAGCAGCACATACAGTTTTATTTTATTATCACCCACTGATGAATTGAAAAAAAAGACAAAAATTTGGTGTGGTAGCAGCTAAGAGAAATCAAACTTTGAGTGTACATCTACATCTGATTAACTTTTGGCACTCCAGCTAATCGACATTGACCATAAAAATGGCTTAAATTTTGTCAGATTTACAGCTAATGAGCTAATATTTGGTGTGATAGGAACTGAGAGTCACCCTCAACACATACTGAAGACTAACTCATCTTGCACAAAATTTGGGAAATTGCATGGGCTCACAAATACTGTTATTTTCTGTCCCCACTGCCTGCACAGTGACTGCTGGGGATGGGCTCCAGCCCCTCTGACCCTGTACAGAAAAGAGAAAGACAATGGATGGATATTTTTCTTTATGTGATCAGTGATTGTGTTTAAATCTGCAAATTTTCACTCCTACCACACAGTAAAATGTGTTTTCTCACCTATTCTAAATAGTTTTTATTCTTCTTTTTATAGAAAGTTTTCTCTGGACCACCAGACTTGTCTATCATCTATCTTTCTATCTATCTGTCTGTCTGTCTGTCTACGTATCTATCTCTCTCTCTTTCTCTCAACCTTTCCTGTCAGCTGTGGTTGAGTGGTTAGAACACTCATCCTCCAATGAAAGTTGGGGGTTCAATTGCACCAATATGGACTTACATGTCAGTGTCTCTGGGCAAGACATTGAAGCCCTCATTGCCTCAGATGTGTGTCCCATCAATGTATGAATGTGATCTAAAGCACTAATTAGTCTTTATAGAATGATTTTATGAAGATAAAATAGTCACACAAGTTTACAATGAGACTTGTATGCATACAAAAAGATCCATGTGTGCCACAAGTTTTACAAATGTGTACTACAAGATTCACTAATGCATAAACAGTTTTTTTAATGTACACATTTCAGTTTGCACAAGTAAGAATATTCTGTGCATACAAATTGTCTAATGCACACACTCAAATCATCTGCTGTGCACAGATCAGCTGCCTGTGAATATGACTTTTGAGACTTTCTGACTGTTCCAGATTCACAAAGGTAATGCTGCGTTCAAGGCTGGTAGAAAGCTGGGACATCTGAACCTTACCAGGTTAACTGAGTTATTGGGAAAAGACTCATTTCTAACTTGGCACAGAAACTCATAACCCCAATATTAAAACACACATGCTTACATTAACATTACTGTATTCCAAAAATGTCCATTAAAGCTCAATATAAACAACCTAAAATAAGCAGGTTATTCTTCATCTGGAATTTTTTTTAGGAAAATAAATATATACATTACTGGAAAATATGTTTATGTTTGTGCATATTTTAATCTTCATACAATTTACTCAGATTAGCTTTTGTAGAGATAGAGTGTTTTATGGATGTGCATGGGTAAATGAGGGTACTGATTGTGTTGTAATGTGCTTTAAGTGTCCTGGTTAGATAGAAAACCACTATATAACTACAGTCCATTTACATTTCATGTTCCCAGAACCATCTATGCATATTTCTGCTTGCTGTTTCAGCACATGTGTGGGTGGAGTTTGGAACTGCACTGACTACAGCTGCCCAGGTTGGTGCTTTAATAACTTTTTACTCTAACTGCACTGGAGGCTAAGTGTGATGATAACCTTTGGTTACCAGTGTTACCCTGGTTCTCTAAAAAACTAAGTAAGGTATTTCACTTTAGGAAGCGCCTTCAGGCATGACCAACCATGGAAATTCTAATATCACCAATTCTGTAACTGACGGACCAATCTTGTGTTAGGTATGAGGGTGCCATCCCTCTTTTTAAGTGTCCCGCCTGACAATTTTACATGTATTTCTTCTGTGTGCATGAAAGCAGGGCAAGGTTATAAAATACCTCACTCAGTTTTCAGAGAGCCAGTATTACATTGATAACCAAAAATTCTATTTTAAACCTTGCATAGTATCTCAATATAAGAAATACATTCAACTCCTGAATTGCATGCTCCGAGGCATAACAGCACCTAAACATTATGAAGGTCAACACCCCCAGTCCACCTCAATGACTGGTGCAAATCTATGACACAGTCACGTCTAGGCAGTAGAATCTAAGGAAAGTATTTGGGGATGAACTAACTGTTGCACATATACTGTATACACCATAGAGACACCCTTGAAAAGGACTCACAAGGTAAGCATACCTCTGGTGGAATCCACTCTCGGGGGTTCTGGAGGCTGTATACCCTGGCACACAGAGACCTCCCTGATTACCCCCACAACCCAGACTTCCCTTTATGGTCAGGACACCAAAAGCTGATTGCTTTTACAGAAATCCTTGGTCTTGTCCAAGTATATGCGTAACACTCATACTGAGCACAACAGATTCAACTGCATTTCATTCTAACCCTCAAATGGGGGAGAATGAAAAACGAGCAGCTCCATTGAAAAGCAACTGTAAAACACTTACCTAACCTTGGGCACAAAAGCTGGATTAGGGTGCAGTGCCACCTTTCAGAACACTGGGGTGAACTGCAAACTGGATGCATGCACAGAGCATGCAAGTCATTTAGCCTCTTGGCTGAATTTAGCGCCAGCAGCAGGACAGTTTTCAGTTATAGAGCCCTTAAGTCTGCACACTTAAAAGGTTTTAAAAGGAAGTCCTGAGAGCTTTGAGGATGACAGATACATTTCAAAATCGGAAGATGGGCTTCACTGCTGGACGCAAAAAACGAGCACCTTTAATACAGAGGATGCTGCCCAACTGGAGCATCTTCAAAATCCACACCACACCATGCTGAAATTGCAGCTAAATAAACCCTGATAGTGTTAAAAACCTTTCCACAATCTAACAAGTTTTTCAGGAAGCATAATACCTCAGAAATAGAATACTGGAATGAAATGACAAACCTGCTCCGACACCAACTCATGAATATATGCCACTTGCAGTCATAAGACAGTGGGTGGATGGTGCCCCTATGCTCTGAATGGCCTCAATCACATTTAATAGAAGACTGGACTCTTTTAAATTCATACTCTCATGAAACAGGTCCGGGCAGCACGGTGGCACAACTGGTAGAGCTGCTGCCTCTCAGCGAGCAGGTCCTTGGTTCAAACCCCGGTCCAGGGGCCTTTCTGGGTGGAGTTTGCATGTTCTCTCCGTGCATGCGTGGGTTTTCTCCGGGTTCTCCGGTTTCCTCCCACAGACCAAAAACATGCATGTTAGGCTGATTGGTAACTCTAAATTGTCCCTAGGTGTGAGTGAGAGAGTGAATGGTTGTTTGCGTTGTTTGTCTCTATGTGGCCCTGTGATGGACTTGCGACCCGTCCAGGGT